GTAATGAGGCTCAAATTGACAATGATTGGAAACCGAAATGGACGCTGCTTAACCCTCTTGGTGCCACGGGACCATGTATGGTCCGAGAAAATGCCCTTTTTAAACTATGAATTTTGATATCAAACACTAAGTGCGCAAAGACAAAATTTAACCATCATCACCCCAATCATCTTAACATCGTGCAACTCATACTTTATACAATGCTACGGATTGCGAAATATGGCGAGATTAGTAAAAAGAACTCAAAGGGACCACAATTTGTAGTTTGTTATAACTGTAGTTAGTTATAAGCATACATACATCATATATACAGCAAATGGCATGGATAAAAAACAACATAACAACACATTTGATATTACATATAGCCCACTGATCTACGCTTCTTGAGCTTTCAAATTCAGGTGTTAAAATTGTCCAATTACATCTCGTTTCAAGCTTTTTATAAGTAAGGTTTAAAGTATTAACAACTCATCATAACACCCGGAGTATGAATAAGCGGTATGTGTGATTGCACAACGAAGCAATGCTTGTATGACATGTGGCGCCCGAGTTACGAGTGATCGAAAATAGGTTTGTTGAATAGATTTGCTGCCCATGAAAACGTTTCAACGAATTTGGTTGCTTCTACGTGTACTTACTCTTGGGTGGTAGTACCTTATAATCTTGCTAATTGTTAAGAAATAATAATGATGTCCGATATTGAGAGATGTCAATTTGACTATTGTTAGGTCTGTCAAGCGACAGTTACACATTTTGTCCTGTGAAAATGTCCGATGTCACTAATGACGGCACGGACACTGAAACCTACATGGATGTGAGCAGGATTTCTTCAAGATACACATTCAAAACTGTAATTCATTTTGTCACATAATCTTTGAAACAGTCTGCGTATGAACCACTCACGACCGCTTACGTCAATAATGACACTGACAAAAACACCAGGATTGTTTATCGGCAAAGATAAATTACGGAGAATTCTCAATCAATGTGTACTTCGACATAAATGTCATATGTCTATCACCGTTAGAATATGTTCTTTCAAGTGGTGTGAATTTTTGGGACATTTAGATTTCAAACAAGGGCGCTTACTTGACTGCCACTGTCGGGTGCGTCCATATTACGTTTACGTAGAAAAGTAAGAAACTTACAATACCAGCACTTTTATCAATGGCTAGGCAGTGCTTAGATCTTTTGGATTTGTTGACTTTAGATACTGTTGGAAAGACAAGCATCTCGAGTTGCATGTTAAATAATTTGGTTACACTAGGTGAAGAAGTAAGGACGCTGTAACACTTTTGATACAATGAATACGTTTTTTTAAACCGCGACGTCATCGTAGTGCGGCACTGATCGGTATGCAAAGCCAGCTGACAGCCAGGCACAATCAGAGTTAATATGTGTGCATCTTTTCGATTTTGGTGCCTTTTCCCTTTTGTTTGTCATTTAACGTCACACTGAACACTATTCCAGCAATACATAACGAGCAACGTCTGCATACCATGACACTCTCTTAACCAATGCACCGAGTCAGGACCTCCTATCCTTACAAGTTGGCTGGTTCAACAAGTTACTTGGGACGGAGTCCCATATGAACCTGAGGATGCAAATGAGTCGAATTTGTTTTTCATGCCGATCCAATTAATAGGAGACGGTGTAGTGAAACTCTGGACTGCCTTCTGCCTTCTACTTCACTGACACCAGAGTATCTTCTCACCATTGTCAAATCCAATAGAAAGGTAATAAGGCAGCAGTGGGCCATATCAAACCAGTATTCATTTAACCTCGGACATACACCCCCATTCTTTGTCCGTTTGTACTCCACAATTACATACCTATCAATACGGTGGCCAATACCCGCCACTGGTGAGTTCATTTTTCACTGTATGCCTCTATGTTTTGCCAGATACTTTCCGTTTCAAATTGGCATACGACGTGTGACCAGAATTACTTCCAGATCAGTGCCCTGGCATGGCAATCGACAGGTTGGAGATTGTATCTGTAAGATTGAGCTTTGATAGATTGAGCCAGATAAATTATAGAGGCACACAGTGAACAATAATCACACCAGTGGAAGTATCTGGCGGCCGACATAAAAGTATTTGGCGGCCGCCAGTTAAAATATACAGGCATACAGTGAAAAAAGGATGTCACCAGTGGCGGGTCCTGGCGGCCACCGTATATCAACAAGTAGAGATTGCTGCAGAGCATCAATAGCTCCCCGCCATATAATGTTATGTGCAGAGGAAGGAAGTGTAAGCTATGGGAGGAGAGAATTTGTGTTAAGTACCAATTGATGTTATTAATGTACTTATCTTTGGAAAGCACAATAAAAGAAACAGTGTCTTTAACTGGTCAGCACAAAGAAAACCCAGGCAAGAAAACTGGGCCTGTCAGGCAAAACTTTATGTTTACCCACTATTAGTACCAATAAAAAAAACCTATATAGATAACGCAACAAATGTCACTCTAAAGCATGCTTTTGCAGCAAATATCAATATTTCTGGTCAAAATGTTGGTTGGTTTAAATAAAGCAAACTTTTAAAATAGTAAACACAAAAAATGTAATGAATACACTCTAAATATACTTCAGTTCAAATGTAAAAATTCACGCAATCATTAATGGATTCCCATTTATCTAGCAGCAAGTTAGGAACATACAGTTTGGTCACGTTATCTATAAATATTGAGAATTGTCTTACATATTGTAAAAACAAAGGCCATAGGTCACTTTTCTCAAAACTTCGTTTAAGTAATCACAAACTAAAAATTGAAAACATTGTAGATATACAAACACACCAACCCCATTTGAACAACGTCTCTGTGTTCTGGATCTCTGTGAAACATGTGATGTCTCAGAAGATGAACAACATTACCCACCAAGAAAGAGAATCACAAATAATCCCCAATCATGATAAAGAATTTGGTACTCTCTGTTAAAAGGAGCAGATTCTTAATAAGTTTACCAACAGTTATCCAGAAACAACTTCCAAGATCTGTTAACATATCAACAATTACAAACAAATTCCTTGTACATGTATGTACTACATTACCATAGTTTTGCTCAATTCTCATATTGTTTCCATATCATTATAAAACACTTGTTTTAGAAATTAAATTCTACCTCTTTTGAATGTTGAATGTTCCTGTGTTTTTTAATTGTCGTTTATTGTGCATGTATTTTGTAGTTTGTGATTGTGCAATATTGCCACTGTTTCTTCATGGAATGTTCCGCAATACATATCTCATCTAAAACATCTTTGTTGTATAATAGTTTCTTACAGTTGTGTCCCTTGGGCACGCCAGAAACCTATGACAGTGTGTTTGAATCTCGGTTCGCCCCGATTTTGTTGTCAGCACAAAACCCTTGCTCGTTGGTTTCACCAAAGTGGTGAACGTCTAAGACCTGCATCACTTCAGACTTTCCTCCCACATCAAGCTGACACGGAATACTATTCAAGACGGCGTTAAACCCAACTACCTCACTCACTCTTGTGTATGGTTCCGTTTGGTTAACTGGGTTTGTGTTGTGATTGCTTCCGGTTTAGATTGGAAACTTGTTTAGAAGAATGTTACTATGTTCAACCCAAACATCGTGAAGATATCATGCAACCGTATTATCTTTTTGGAAAATAATTGCAAACTACAGACCAACCTGTTGATTTCCTATGTATCCAGAAGCAAAGGACATATACGGGTGTATGATCTCTGCTGGAAGTTATTTTTTTTTGTCAAAGCAATAAACCATGCAGAAACGTAAACCGCCGCGTGAAACGGTATGTACCATATATTACATACAGTGAAGTATTTAAAACAATGCTGTGCTCAACTATGCACAGCAAGCGCCATACATGTGATTATGAAGACAACTAATAAAACAATTCTCATATCAAACCCGTTGTTTTACATGTGTTGTTTATTGAAGAAAGTCATACTTTATAGAAGCCTGTTATTTAATCATGTTGAACAATATGTTGCAATAGCAGTGTGAAAATTGAGTGCGCGTGACAGGCTTGGCCTAAATTCCTTCCTGGAACGTTTCTCGATGGCTGCCTGAATAACATACGATACATTGCAAAGATAATGCGCAATTGAACTGTCCGGGTAAGGGAGATAATCACTCACTCTCAGTGATACAGCTTGAATAAGATACGATGTACAGCAATGCAAGGTCAGAGCGTGAATTTATCACTTCTATACTACGCCTATAGCTAAAGGAGTTAATCGCTCAATGCGCAATAGTTTATTCTTACAAAATAAAGACCGGTTAACTTTAGCGAAATGGGATCATTTTTAGCTCTTTTAAAAACAAAATGAACAAATTTAATGGGCTATCAGCATTACGAAAAGTGACTAAGTCTCAGAATAGCAAGACGATTTTGAAGTATCTCTTATTGCTGGAGAAGATAAACATCAACATTTCACGCCCTTTTACATGATTTGTATGTTTCGTTTCGGTAACTGTGTGGCTTGAAATTTCAAAGAAACCAACATGTCGACTAACATGCTCCAAAATTAACCTCTCCCGTATACTTCCCCGCCTTAAGGGCGGGGAAGACTAAGGCCGTCAGAAAACATCCTTGTATTTGACTGTCGCCTAGAATCATGTTAATAGAGTGCGATCCACACCTAATGTTGTTGTTTACTTCGTCAAGTTGAGTTGATAGAAAGGTCAGGAAAGTACGACACTCACAGCACTGGCAATGTTACAGCAATTGAGATTGTAAACGACAGAAGCCAAATCGTTTTAGAAAGCTGACATCTGACTCAATAAACCAGATATCCTTGAGCGGTCACTCAGTAGCCGCGAGTCGTCAAGATGTAGTCTAGTTGCATTGTTGAAGATTGTCATTGGCAGAAGACACTCGGTTAATAATTTATATTGATGGAAAAACTTCATAGTTTAGTCGTTAATGCTGTGCATAAATGTAAGGGTGCTAAAAGCGATAAAGTACAATGTGATGTTTTATTTAGAGCTTCACTAAATCAATGAACAAAACTCATTTCTGTTTTTCATATTTTATTGAGTGACATTTGGAACAAGCGATGAAGCGGGATTGATTGTACGCGGAAGGACTTTATGTTCGTATCGGTATTCCAAGAACTATATCATGACAGAAGCACGTTAGCCAAGACAGATTGAAAAAATAGATATTAACGCGAGAAATATACTTTTAAAACTATTGAAACTGTGAAATTAGTACTTAATTCTGCCTACTACACCTTTCATATGACATAACAAGAGAAACCATCAGAAGTGCACAAGTGTGAGTTAGTGAGTCAATATTTATTGTCAAATCGGCAATATTTCAGGCATATCGTGACTAAAGCAAGATAACATTAATTTAGACTATATAAAAACCTGTCAGCAAAGGACGGTAAAATTACTAGACTTATCACATATATCTATTTTTAAAACTAGTATGTGCCCATAAGAAGCTATTACTAAACAGAACAATACATTGTCAAAACGGGCTTAAGATCGCCAGCAACTGAAGGTAGATCACCATACTGGGGACCATGGGGACTTTTAGTACCTTTGCTACCTACATGGACACCAGTAGGATTTACATCATACCTTCAGCCGCTGGCGAGTGTATGCACGTTTAGCCATCAATTAAAACTAACAAATATACTACGATTGAAATCGTGGTTGGCCTGCATATAGTTCGAATGATGTAGAATTTACTTACCCTCTCTGGGGTCAATAATTTTACAGTGCTTTAACCCCTTTCGAGGATACAGCCACTGACAATCTCAGTTGCTTTTTTAATCTACCAAATTTAAAGCAACATTTATTTATTTTGCAAAACAGGTTAATCAGAAATGTTCAAACAATTCTATTTCTTTTAGTGCACAAGGAGAAGCTTAGAGAGGTTATTGTTGGCTGAAAGATGCGTGTTGCAATTCTGGAATCAGGCTATTGAAAAGTACACTTCGTAGCAAGTTAGAGTCGACGAATCGATCTTCAAGTTAACCTTAATGCAGAAATCTCCACTTGGGACATTTGGTATGTTGACGTCAAACTCAGTAGTTGGAAGAGTGTAGTTTCCCTGAAATATATGGCATGGAAATGAATCTGTGTGTGGTTTGTTTGTTTGGTTTGGTTTTTGTTTAACGCCGCACTCAGCAATATTCCAGCAATATGACGGCGGTCTGCAAATAATCGAGTATGGACCAGACAATCCAGTGATTGATATCATGAGCATTGATCCACGCAATTGGGATTGATGACATGCATCAACCAAGTCAGCGAGCCTGACCACCCGATCCCGTTAGTCGCCTTTTACGACAAGCATAGTTGCCTTTTACGGCAAGCATGGGTTGCTGAAGACATATTCTACCCCTGATCTTCACGGGTCCAAGTGATGTACAGGATATGTGAGCATATTAGTAAAACGATATTTGAAATTAAGAATACATCACAAGTTTAGTGAACTGGGCCTTTAACATTTTATTCCATGTAAAAATAAATTAAATACGAAATTTATTGTATCTGAGGTCAAAAGCAAGGCTATGGATTTGAGTGTGAAAGAGTGGAAAGAGTCTATTCCTGAAACGGTTGGTCCGTCAGGCAAGGGAGGTAATAAGTTGAGACTCTATTGTAAACTAGTAGACAACTACTGTCCAGGAACATATGTTCCAACAGTCAAGTGATCGACATCATGAGCATCGATCTACGCAATGGATGTGTTTGTTGTTTAACGCCGCACTCAGCAATATTCCAGCTATATGACGGCGGTCTGTAAATAATCGAGTCTTCGCAATTTGGATACGATGATATGTATCAACCAAGTCAGCGGGCCTGACCACCCGATCTTGTTTGTCGCCTCTTACGATAAGCATACTCGCCTTTTATGGCACCCATGTGTTGCTGAAGACCTATTCTAACCTAGGTCTTCACGGGTACGGAAAGGTAATGCACTGCTTCTTACGATTTGTTTTGGAAATAGACGGTCGAAACAAGTTATATAGCATTTAACACATGTCTCAAAACGTACCTTATTATTATGCATAATATTCAGAGTGAGTGAGTTGGGTTTAACGCCGCTTTTAACAGTATTCCAGTTATATCACGGCGTGTCAGCCTAATGTGGGAGGAAAGCCCGAAGTGATGCAGGTCTCAGACGTTTACCACTTCGGTGAAACCCACGACCACGGGTATGGTGCTGACAAACCTAGGAACATAATCGGGGCGAACCGGGATTCGAACCCACAATCATAGGTTTCTGGCGTGGCCAAGGGACGCAACTCTGCACAGCGAATCGCGGCGCCTTAGACGACTGGGCCACCCGTGTCCCCCATTATATTCAGAAGGATATACATGTGTCATTATCCAGTGATACACATTCAAAATTAGGCTAGGTTTAGGCAAATGAATCGGAAGTGCAAATTGGATTCCACTCAGGTGTGGATGAAGTTAAGTACCATTAACTTTCTTAAAAAACTTAAGAAAAAAGTTCATTTTCATGCCGCAGTATCCATTTTATTACTCTGACGTCACCATAGCTTGATTTGTAGCCTGATGCGAATCGCAGAAATCAGTCAAAATACTTTCATGAGCGCAGGAAATATTTTGTGTTTCGTTAAAAGGTAGGAATGATGGATATCGTGACGTTATTTTCGAATCTATGGCGGCAAGTGGGTCCAAGGTTTTCATCAACATAAAATAAAGAAACATAATACACTTGATAAAAGAGGATGAAAAATTTCCAAATGCGGCGTTATACGTTTTAACCTCATCGACTCATGTGAATGTTGTGCTTAAAAGGGCCACCAGAGTCAGCAGGATATCAACAGGTTTTACTGTCTATCAGGAATGTTCAAGACACAGGGCTTCTTATCGACGTTTTCAGACAATTTGAGAGTTTCGGAAATATGAGTCACAATTATTGTTGAAACACTTAAGCATTGTTAAGATGACAATTATTGTTGAAACACTTAAGCATTGTTAAGATGACAAATATTGTTGAAACACTTAAGCATTGTTAAGATGCCAATTATTGTTGAAACACTTAAGCATTGTTAAGATGACAATTATTGATGAAACACTTAAGCATTGTTAAGATGACAATTATTGTTGAAACACTTAAGCATTGTTAGGATGACAATTTTGTTGAAACACTTAAGCATTGTTAAGATGACAATTATTGTTGAAACACTGAAGCATTGTTAAGATGACAATTATTGATGAAACACTTAAGCATTGTTAAGATGACAATTATTGTTGAAACACTTAAGCATTGTTAAGATGACAATTATTGTTGAAACACTTAAGCATTGTTAAGATGACAATTATTGTTGAAACACTTGAGCATTGTTAAGATGACAATTATTGTTGAAACACTTAAGCATTGTTAAGATGACAATTATTGTTGAAACACTTAAGCATTGTTAAGATGACAATTATTGTTGAAACACTTAAGCATTGTTAAGATGACAATTATTGTTGAAACACTTGAGCATTGTTAAGATGACAATTATTGTTGAAACACTTAAGCATTGTTAAGATGACAATTATTGTTGAAACACTTGAGCATTGTTAAGATGACAATTATTGATGAAACACTTAAGCATTGTTAAGATGACAATTATTGTTGAAACACTTAAGCATTGTTAAGATGACAATTATTGATGAAACACTTAAGCATTGTTTAGATGTTAAATACGTCAACAACACTTACCATTGGGAAGGGACACTTGCAGGGTATGTTGTTATCATGGAAAGCTTTTGGACAAGGGGTTTGGTCAAGAAACCCACAGAAGTCTCCATAGCTACACGACCCCACGTTGTGCCAACATGGCACGCGGATCCACATGCCAATTACCTTCTTCCACAGGGTTACCTCAGTCTAGGGAGGAACGAAACAACCACGTGTGCAATATTTATTTCAAACACTATCAGGGGGCACGGGTGGCCCAGTCGTCTAAGGCGCCGCGATTCGCTGTGCAGAGTTGCGTCCCTTGGGCACGCCAGAAACCTATGATTGTGGGTTCGAATCCCGGTTCGCCCTGATTATGTTTCTAGGTTTGTCAGCACCATACCCGTGCTCGTGGGTTTCACCGAAGTGGTAAACGTCTGAGACCTGCATCACTTCGGGCTTTCCTCCCACATTAAGCTGACACGCCGTGATATAACTGAAATACTGTTAAAAGCGGCGTTAAACACAACTCATTCACTCACTCACTCACTCAAGCACTTTCATAATGTGGTCTCATCTTTCAATATGCGTTATCCACCGTTATTCCTAGGGTAATGGCCATATACATAGAGAAGGGGGTGATTCCGATCTTGGTTGGTTGTTTAAAGCCGCACTCAGCAATATTCCAGCTATATGACAGCGGTATGTAAATAATCAAGTCTGGACCTGACAATCCAGTGATTAACATCATGAGCATCGATCCATGCAACTGGGATCGATGACATGCATCAACCAAGTCGAGCCTAACCACCCCAGCCCGCATTATATCTTAGTACTAGACTTCCCGTTAAAACCTAGGTCAAGCGTATGAATACCATATTTGACAGTCCTGCCTAGATAGGCTGACATCGATGCGACCCACAGCACAATCCGTGCCGCCTCCGTGGTCTTGTGGTAGAGCGTCCGCCCGGAGAGCGGAAGGTCCGGGGTTCGATCCCCGGCCGCGTCATACCAAAAGACGTTAAAAGATGGTACTTGTTGTAACCCTGTCTGGCGCTCGACATTAAGGGGCTAAAACAAGGACTGGTCGGCTCGGAGTCAGTATACTGTGTCTGAGTGGGGTATTCATGTTAAACTGCGGCATGGTATCTCAGTGAGCTAGCACTATAAATTGGCATCAGTCCTGTCTAGTACAAGCAGCCACAGACACACACGTGCATGCACGTCGCTATATAAGTGCAATAATCTTGGACGCGACGTTAAACCCAATTTCACCTCACCTCACAGCACAATCCAAATTAGTTGAACAGAATAATACAACTTCAAACAGATAAAAAGCTGACACGGAAATTGATACGATACTACGGACTACCTTTAGAATTCAGCACCAGAACCTTTACAAAGACGTCGCAACACCCTTTTACCTACACTGTAAATTTGTGAAATTCGGTTGCAAGACACACTGGCGAAACATCACTAAGCTATGGGGGTTGTAAGGGTAAACGAGTGTGCATAAGCTCCTCTCAGTGACCTAACATCTCCACATGCAATGTCATTGAATAAGCCCAGCGAGGTTGAGACTTTTCAATACTTGTTCCAGTAGCACACAAACATTGTGCTTTGCTACAAAACGCTGTGTAACACGAGCTCATTCTCAACGGGCGAGTGCGTGAGTGAGTGAAAATTTAACGTCACATCGGCATTATTTCAGCCATAAAGCGACCAGACCAAGTTAACATATTCACAATTCAGTTATTTATGCAAAGTTGTATTTAAAAACATATTTGAGCATTCCAATATCATGTATACAGTTTTAAAACTAGTAACCAAAACTAGGCCACCTCGCTGGGGATCATGAGGACTTACAGTACCTCTGCTTCCTGCATGATACCCAGCAGGATTTACGTCATCACTTTAGCCACTGGTGGTTGTGCACAATGCCAGCCAATATTTAAAAAAACCTCAGCAATGAGTTGGCTTAAAAACACTGGTTGAAGATAGCTACATTGATTATGATAGGATTACGTGTCACACAGGGGGACAATAGTCAACGGGCGAGTGATAAATATCCATATGAATTAAAACTACAGTGGTAATAGGTCATCTGTACTTCTCTTCTTTTTCAGAAATATAGACAATACCTGTATGGGTGACACGGCTCTTTGCAGATTTACAACTTTGAAAGCGACTTGTATCACACCAGGAAGTTGAATGGGGTCAGGAGATAGCTGCAGTTCAAGTAGCCTCGCTGTTTCTGTTGAAGGGTCTCCACAGTTTTTGTAGGAGAAAGAGGTCAGTCTTGAACTGAGACTGATGCCCTGGAAATACAATGTAATGAACTGTCAAGACAAAAGTGACAGTACGTTGGAAACCTATAGTGAGTTATTGCTATTGGATATTTTTTTCTGCACCTTTTATGTCATCCGTATGTGTATAGTCTTACTGTTTTGTTTGTTGTTTAACGCCGCACTCAGAAATATTCCAGCTATATGACGGCGGTCTGTAAATAATTGAGTCTAGACAAGACCATCCAGTGATTAATATCATGAGCATCGATCCACGCAATTGGACAGCGAGCCCGACCACCCGATCCCGTTAGTCGCCTTTTACGACAAGCATAGTCACCTTTTACGGCAAGCATGGGTTGCTGAAGACATATTTTACCCCTGATCTTCACGGGTCCTCAGTTATGTAGCAATAGCCTTATTATTTTTATAACTATTACATTGTTGCAAAGCTAAGAAAACAAGTAAATGAGATTTTATTTGTTTTTACACTTGATAAAACGCTAGAACAGGTTAACTTCAAAGTACAATTTCAAAGAAACAATCGACTGAAAGTCCCCCAGTTTGTTTGTTGTTAAACGCCACGCTCAGCGTAGTAATCGAGTCTGAACCAGACAATCCAGTGATTGACATCATGAGCGTCGATCCACTCAACTGGAATACGATGACATGCATCAACCAAATCAGCGAGCCTGACTACCCGATCCCGTTAGTCGCCTCTTATGACAAGCATAGTCGCCTTATACGGCAAACATGAGTTGTTGAAGACCTATTCGACCCCGGATTTTCACGGGTGATGTCTTAAACTGTATTACTTAATGTAATGACGACATCTTACAAGCTGTAAATTGTTCTTGGCGCTGTATGACTGAAATACACTCACTTAAGCCATAAATATTACTGAATATTTAAAAAGTAGTACTCACATATTTCTGGAAATAAGACTGTGGCATATACCTCTCGGGTGTTCGACGCCGCATCAAAATATTCATGATGTCGAAGGAATCCTTTGCATTCCGATCGTAAGACTTAAAGTTTAATACTCGAAAACTACTAGCTCCCGCAGTAAGACACAGCAGAGCAAGGATACCAGCAGCCGCCATGTTTGCGTACATTCAAACACTCTGGTGTATCGCAGTGTAGAACTCCAGCGAGATTCTTCTTCCTTGTATCACGAAAGAGGAAATAAAACAGAAGTTTCATATAACGGTTGTGTGTGAATATCAACAACTGAGGCAGTCACTAGTTTATGAACGTCAAATGAGGAAAGGAAACTGCAACAAGGAAAGTTTTCAACAAGCTTTGTCTGTTGTTAGAATAGTGGTTCAGAATACTTAATGTTAAAGTTACCATACACGTAGACGAGACATTGGTCTAGTTACATCACGGTTTGGGTTGGTCAGAGAGGCGGAGCCTCGAGGTAACCTTTTCGCCTGTCAATCAAAGGCCGAGACAAAGCGTGCTGTAGCTCGACCAATGGCGAGTCGGGGGTGTGGTTACTGACTTGTAGCACTGATTGCGAGCGGTGATGGAAACGGCGGTAAAGTTACATCATATTCACTTTGGTGACGTAGAGCATTGCATGACGTCACAAATCAGCTCAGATACGATTGAGTACAATTGCCATTCGAGTCGGGGGACCTGAAAGGAATTTGAAGACTGAAAATCAACCGACATATTTCTTCAACTGTGTTTTCAATATGTAAGTTACAATTTGGACATTGTGAAATTGTTTGTTTCCTGCAGAAAAGGACTTGAAAGTTATATTGAGAACTGAAATAAAGTTGTTTGACAATATTTTTATAGTTTTATAATGGGTGTGTAATGTTTTTATAATGAATGTCTGCTTTTATGATTTGAAACCTGGACCACCTTGTTCATTATTTGTTGTTTTTTCGATTATGAAAACTTATTCATTTACGTGACAGGAATAAACACTTGATTTCTCAATTCCTCTGGTCTTTTTTTACCATGTTCATCTTGTTACTTAAGTTACATAACATTGTTGCGACCTTTGCAATATAATGGTGTATCTTTGCATACATTTAACAAGGCGCGGCTTGCTGCGGTAACGGCAGCCAATGGGGAGCTGAACATGGAACAGCACGGCTTAGATCAAAGGAATCGCTCGCTACCAGTGCTACAAGTCAAAAACTGGTTCTGTGACCTTGCCGACTGCGCGTCATCGTACCCCGTTGGCTTATGTTTTCTATGTTTAGGTTGTATTTTCAGACTCAGCCTTTTTATTACATAATCGTGAAGATCCGGGGTAGAATAGGTCTTCAGCAACCCATGCTTGCAGTAAAAGGCGACTATGCTTGTCGTAAAAGGCGACTAACGGGATCGGGTGGTCAGGCTCGCTGACTTGGTTGATGCATGTCATCGATCCCAATTGCGTTGATCGATGCTCATGATATCAATCACTGGATTGTCTGGTCCATACTCGATTATTCTTCCCCGCCCTTTAGGCTGGGAAGTATACGGGAGAGGTTAATTTTGTAGCATGTAAGTCGACATGTTGGTTTCTTTGAAATTTCAAGCCACACAGTTACCTAAACGAAACATACAAATCATGTGAAATGTGCGTGAAATGTTGATGTTTATCTTTTCCAGCAATAAGATATACTTCAAAATCGTCTTGCTATTCTGAGACTTAGTTACTTTTCGTAATGCTGATAACCCATGAAATTTGTTCATTTTGTTTTTAAAAGAGCTAAAAATGATCCCATTTCGATAAAGTTAACCGGTCTATATTTTGTAAGAATAAACTATCGCGCATTGAGCGATTATCTCCTTTAGCTATAGGCGTAGTATAGAAGTGATAAATTCACGCACTGACCTTGCATTGCTGTACATCGTATCTTATTCAAGCTGTATCACTGAGAGTGAGTGATTATTTCCCTTACCAAAACAGCTCAATTGCGCACTACCTTTGCAATGTATCGTATGTTATTCAGGCGGCCATCGAGCAACGTTCCAGGAAGGAATTTTGGCCAAGCCTGTCACGCGCACTCAATTTTCACACTGCTATTGCAACATATTTTTCAACACGATTAAATAACAGGCTTCTATAAAGTATGACTTTCTTCAATAAACAACACATGTAAAACAACGGGTTTGATATGAGAATTTTTTTATTAGTTGTCTTCATAATCACAAGTATGGCGCTTGCTGTGCATAGTCGACAGCATTGTATTAAATACTTCACTGTATGTAATGTATGGTACATGCCGTTTCATGCGGCGGTTTACGTTTCTGCATGGTTTATTGCTTTGACAAAAAAAAATTAACTTCCAGCAGAGATCATACACCCGTATATGTTCTTTGCTTCTGGATACATAGAAAATCAACAGGTTGGTCTGTAGTTTGCTATTATTTTCCCAAAAGATAATACGGTTGCATGATATCTTCACGATGTTTGGGTTGAACATAGTACAATTCTTCTAAACAAATTTCAAATCTAAGCCGGAAGCAATCACAACACAAACCCAGTTAACCAAACGGAACCATACACAAGAGTGAGTGAGGTAGTTGGGTTTAACGCCGTCTTGAACAGTATTCCGTGTCAGCTTGATGTGGGAGGAAAGTCTGAAGTGATGCAGGTCTTAGACGTTCACCACTTTGGTGAAACCAACGAGTAAGGGTTTTGTGCTGACAACAAAATCGGGGCGAACCGAGATTCAAACACACTGTCATAGGTTTCTGGCGTGCCCAAAGGACACAACTCTGCAAAGCGAATTCCAGCGCCTTCGGCGACTGGGCCAACCATGCCCCCGTAAACAACTGTAAGAAACTATTATACAACAAAGATGTTTTAGATGAGATATGTATTGCGGAACATTCCATGAAGAAACAGTGGCAATATTACACAATCACAAACTACAAAATACATGCGCAATAAACGACAATTAAAAAACACAGGAACATTCACCATCAAAAGAGGTACATTTTAACAATTTAATTTCTAAAACAAGTGTATTATAATGATATGGAAACAATATGAGAATTGAGCAAAACTATGGTAATGTTGTACATACATGTATAAGGAATTTGTTTGTAATTGTTGATATGTTAACAGATCTTGGAAGCTGTTTCTGGATAACTGTTGGTAAACTTATTAAGAATCTGCACCTTTTAACAGAGTGTACCAAATTCTTTATCATGATTGGGGATTATTTGTGATTCTCTTTCTTGGTGGGTAATGTTGTTCATCTTCTGAGACATCACATGTTTCACAGAGATCCAGAACACAGAGACGTTGTTCAAATGGGGTTGGTGTGTTTGTATATCTACAATGTTTTCAATTTTTAGTTTGTGATTACTTAAACGAAGTTTTGAGAAAAGTGACCTATGGCCTTTGTTTTTACAATATGTAAGACAATTCTCAATATTTATAGATAACGTGACCAAACTGTATGTTCCTATGTTGTATTATGTAAGACAGTGCGTAATGTTGTTCATCTTCTGAGACATCACATGTTTCACAGAGACGTTGTTCAAATGGTTTTTTTTTGTTTGTTGTATATCTACAATTTTTAGTTTCTGATTACTTAAACGAATTTTTGAGAAAAGTGATATGTAAGATAATTCTCAATATTTATAGATAACGTGACCAAACTGTATGTTCCTAACTAGTTGCTAGATAAATTGGAATCCATTAATGATTGCGTGAATTTTTACATTTGAACTGAAGTATATTTAGAGTGGATTCATTACATTTTTTTGTGTTTACTATTTTAAAAGTTTGCTTTATTTAACCCAACCAACATTTTGACCAGAAATATTGATATTTGCTGCAAAAGCATGCTTTAGAATGACATTTGTTGTGTTATCTATATAGGATTTTTTTATTGGTACTAATAATGGGTATATATCACGTTTTGCCTGACAGGCCCAGTTTTCTTGCCTGGGTTTTCTTTGTGCTGACCAATTAAAGACACTGTTTCTTTTATTGTGCTTTCCAAAGATAAGTACATTTATAACAACCAATTTGTACTGAACACAAATTCTCTCCTCCCATAGCTTACACTTCCTTCCTCTGCAGATAACATTATATTGCGGGGAGCTATTGATGCTCTGCAGTAATCTCTACTTGTTTTACACGGGTCGGCTTTAGAGGCCTTTGAGGAGAAATTATACGAAATAAATTGTCGTATATCAAGTTGATCTGTATCTTTAAAATATGTTTCCTGCAAACAAAATGCTGATGGTTTAAAATCTTGTATTAACAACTGTTAATTATTAAAATTATTCTTTAGCCCTCTACAAATCCACTGAATAAGGGTGTGTGAGTTGTTCATGGTGGCTAAATTTGAGATCGGGACCGGTTTGGGGTCCACTCCCATGGAGTGGGAGTGAAGGACTGACCTCCATCTCTAAAGGTTCAAATCGATTATGAATCTTCACAGGGGATGACTGAGAGGAAGGTACCTCCACGTGTTGGAGGGCCCTGGTCCTTTTTTTCATTTTTTTCTTTTCACTTTTGGATAGATGTCTCATTTCTTTTTGATCAATATCATTCGCCAATTCTGGTTCTGTTGTTGGCTCAGGCTTCGCGTCAAAGGGTGGTTTTCGCGACGAGGCCTCAGTCTGAGTAGATGACACTGATGCAGGTGCCTGATCATGTGACATTTGGGCTTTTTTATCGAGTATGACCTGATTATTCACCCACGAAATTGATGTCTGACATCCAATAGAGGTTTTGGCAACTTCAGCAACCGGTGTTGGGGAAGAAACCACAGCTGAAAAGGTTAAAGTAGAAGGAGTTTTAGATGGAGCAGAAACAAGTTTTTTGGCTTCAAGAAAAGAAATGTTTTCAGTGCATTTGATTTTTAGTACTTTTGATTTACGGTCGAACAATGGACATGCTTTTGATGATGTCAAATGTTCACCATTACAGTTAGCACACTTAATGGCATTAATTGTACACTCGGGGCTTTTATGAGCCCCAACAGCGGGAACATACCATGTTGTTTCGGCAGATTTTGGCACCATGTCCAAACTGCTGGCATTTAAAGCACCGGAGTGGGTTGATGACTCAGCTTTAATGGACTGAAAGGATTAATTTTCCCAAACTTCATGTTGTCAATACTCAGGGCATGATAGAATTGGGGCCCATTCTACCACCCATTCAGGTGAAGTAAGGGTCAAAGTGGTGTGTTGGGCAATAGGCACACTGTTCCTGGCTCCAGTGCCCTCAACCACCAGAATCCCGTCCTCCACCGACACAGGGGCGCATCCCACGGCAAACAGGTTGCCCATTTTAGTTGCCTCATGCGACAAGCAACGGGGTGCTGAGGACGCATGGGGGAAGAGCTATTAGTGTTACCCAGCACTCACCACGGGGAGGTGCGAGTGCCCAACCTCGATGAAATGGTCTTCGTATAGGAAAATGAAATTGTTGGTGGTTCTCATGATATTACCAAACTTTGAGGAACCGATTCCCTGGTTTGCAAATATCAAATTCAAGATAATGGTATCTTTGTCTGATGTATAGGAGTCTTTACAAAACATGCCTTTATTTCCAAATACAATTTTGTACTTGGATTAGATGTGGGCACTGTTTTGTCAATGAAGCATGTTTATGTCAATTGCAGGATTGTCAGGTGCAGACCGCTGCCATGTAGGTGGAATAGTGCCATGTTAAACAACGAAACAAACAAACAAATTATTATCTCATTTAGCATTTAATGTGTTTGATGTTTGCTGTGTTGCACAGCGTCATCTCCATAGTCATAGTGCTGACAGTACATATGTGTGTGTGTTGTTGCTGTGAAACAAATCAGCTCTAACAATGAGTGAGTGAGTGAGTTAGGTTTAACGCCGCTTTTAACAGTATTCCAGTTATATCGCGGCGTGTCAGCTTAATGTGGGAGGAAAGCCCGAAGTGATGCAGGTCTCGGACGTTTACCACTTCGTTGAAACCCACGAGCACGGGTATGGTGCTGACAAACCTAGAAACATAATCGGGGCGAACCGGGATTCGAACCCAAAATCATAGGTTTCTGGTGTGTCCAAGGGACGCAACTCTGCACAGCGAATTGCGGCGCCTTAGACGACTGGGCCACCCGTGCCCCCGCTCTAACAATGAAGATTCATAACAATTCGGATATGGTTGTATTTAATATGAGCGTTGATACAATGTCAATTTTAATAAGCCCGCATGTTTGACAAGATCGACAAAAAGAAATTTCGTAATGTTTCTTTACATTCTATATATTTTTTAACTATCAAAACACTTTCATGGAACCAACAACATGCTCATATTAAATACAACCACAGTCGGGACCTGGGAAAGGATAGGTCTACAGCCACCCAGCTAGTCATAAGATGCAGCTAACTGGGATCAGTGCATACGACTCTCTGACTCGACCCCTGTTATGATAATTCTACGTCAGATAGGGTTGATGGACTTGTGAATATTCTAGAGCACGATGCTCAATAAGTAAGACAACAATGAGACTTGAAGTTCAATCTTTACTGAGTCATGTTATGAGGTAACGAACATAAGCTTGTAATGAAAAAGGTAAATCTACATGGAGAGTTTATACTGAACCGCAAAGGAAACGTCACCATGGATAGATATACGAGAAACCCTATTTGTCCAAACACTGTAAACATACTTTGAGACATATTCAAAAGATGAAACTTGGCAAAACTGATCAGCAAGGTTGAAATTGAAGTGTCAAATGTTCTTAAAGTGAAACAAAACACTGGACTCTGAGAAAATGGCATCACAAGTCAGTATCTCGTGTGTCCGCCATGTGCATTTATGACTGCCGTGCAACGTCGATACATGGAATGGATGAGGAGGTTGATGGAGGCCATAGGCACTTGAACCCACACTCTGAGGAACGCCTGACGAAGTTCAGCTGCAGTTGTCGGCCTTAGTCCGACGTCATTCAGCCGTCTTTGAATCTCGTCCCACAGGTGCTCAATGGCATTTAAATCGGGACTGAGGGCAGGCCACTGCATGGTTCTGATGCCATTCTGCTGGAGGAAGTCAGTTGTTGCTCTTGCAGTGTGGGCACGGGCGTTATCACGCTAAAACTCGTGGTTGCTGCGACGTGGCAGATGAGGTATGGCGTGTGGTCTCAAGACTTGATCAATGTACCGAGCTGCTGTGACACTATTGCCTCTCCCTGGACGGATGTTCTGGACGACCACAGGGCCGACCCTCTGTACAAGACCAATTCCACCCTACACCATGATGCTTAGACCATCGAGTCTCACTCAACAACACAAGCATCCGAATAACGTTCCCCACGGCGTCGCCAGACTGCCATCTGCTGTTGAGATACAGTAACGACTCTCGTCTGAGAAGAGGAGTCTTCTCCACTGCTGGTGGCGCCAATGCTGGTGCTGTGTTGGCCACTGAAGGCGATGACGTGGTGTCAGAATGGGTCCTCGGTGTGGCCTGTGACAGTGGAGGTGTCTGCACGTCAATCTTCGACGCACGGTGTCCGCATTAATGTGTCGCTGGTGTGTCCCCATGGTCTGTCGAGAAGTTTCCGCAGCAGTAGCAAGAGATCTTGACGATCCTGACGTTTGGTGGTGACCCTTGGTCTTCCACTACTCGGTCGGCCATCTGCAGTGTAGGTGGTCTGGTACCGTTGCTGGAGCCTGCATAAGGTCCTTACGTGGACTTGAAATGCATTGGCTACCTGCCGGGCGGTTTGTCCAGCTTGCAATTGTCCAAGGGCTTGGTGTCGCTGATTTCTTGTCAATCTTGACATATTGTAGCAATTCAATAACGAATGAATGTTATCCGATCTGGGTGGATTTCTATAGGGCAAGAAGTGGGGGAACGCATGTGCATTTCAATTTGCATGGAACTCGCGTGCATCGGGTTACCATAGCCGTTGCCTAGATGCGTTTGCGTGATCGGTTTTAATGTCATCTGTTTTGTTTTTTATTCATCAAATTTCATTTTTACGGACAAGGTAATGTTAAATGTTAGAAACTTTGACAAAATTACCTAGATATTCAAATGACAACCATTCATGCAATGTTACTTGTGGTTTCTTTTGCGGTTCAGTATATATATTGTGTTTGTCATAGATTCGCACATTACAAATTGTATAACACAAAAATATATATTTATAGATACATTGTACACTTCGCAGGATAGTCGCTAATGCTATGCGTACTATTAATTTTACAATGTGATATATTTCTATTAAGAGGTTCTTTAAATCAATAAACAGGACACATTTTCATTGAAGATCCGGGTTAGAATATGTCTTCAGACACCAATGCTTGAAATTACAGGCGACTATGCTTGTCGTTAGAGGCGACTAATGGGGTCGGGTGGTCAGGCTCGTTGACTTGGTTGATGCATGTCATCGTTCTCAATTGGATCGATGCTCATGATGTCAATCACTGGATTGTCTGGTCCAGACTCGATTAAATTACAGACCGCCGTCATATAGCTGGAATATTGCTGAGTGCGGCGTTAAACAACAAACAAACAAAAAAACATATTTAATTGGGTAGAATGTTGGGCATCCGAGAAACAGAAGTTCAATGTTGATAGTACTCGGCATGAGGTTATGTTCGTGTCGGTATTCCCTGAACTATATAATGAAAGAAGCAAGTTAGCCATCAAAGTATTCTAAATAAGAAACTAACGAGATTCTCAAATGATTTAATTACGTGCACAACTCTGACACGAAGCCGTTCGAGTAACTACGTATAAACATCTGTTGTCACAGATCAAGAGAAACATCATAAATGCGCATATCAAAGCTGTTAGATTGTTATTAGCTGAATCTTGTAAATTTGGCTTTAGGCTAATGAAAAATATATTTCGGAGCAAGAAACAGTCGATGAGTCGAATGCAACCCTTATGCGGAAATCACCACTGGGGACACCTGCGGCGTAGATGTGAAACGAAGTACTTGGAAGTGTGTAGTTTCCCTGAAATATAATTATGTGGTAAAGAAATTAATATGTATTTGGTACATCAAGAAAAAGCAACAAAAACATTTCCATAAGCATAAGTAATGAGTGCATTGTACGAGCATGGGCTTATGCGTCACTTTCAAATGGTCAAGATACCATGCGTTGCTACAAGACGAGCCTTCCCTGCCTCACAGATGACACCTATCACAACTGAGAGAGAGAGAGAGAGAGAGAGAGAGAGAGAGAGAGAGAGAGAGGTTTCTAACTCTCAGGCAACTCGCACCACGCATCAGTCCGTTTTTCAGTTATGGTTTGGTTTAGTTTGTTGTTTAACGCCGCACTCAGCAATATTCCAGATATATGACGACGGTCTGTAAATAATCGAGTCTGAACCAGACAATCCAGTGATCTACGTCATGCACACCGATCCATGCAATTGGGATCGATGACATGCATTGACCACCCGATCTCGTTAGTCGCCTTTTACGACAAGCATAGTCGCCTTTTACGGCAAGCATGGGTTGCTGAAGACCTATTCCACCCCGGATCTTCACGGGTCTATTGGCCTGATGAGACTCATACGTGGTACGACTTGAAAGCGCTAGCCTACTTCACTTATTTCATTATATATATATATATATATATATATATACTGTTACAGTTTACTCAAGACACACCCGATTTTACAAAACCTACTTCGGGGTGTGTGGCTTCATATCTTTGAGGCGGGGGAGTTTAGAAGTAGGTTTGGTAAAACCGGGTGTGTCTTGAGTAAACTGTAACAGGCCAAGTTAATATAGGACAACAGGATCCTAGTTTCCAAGGGTGGGGGTGCCGACGTCACTTCCGTAACGAAGCTAATGTGTTGAATAGGTACAAGATTTTCATCGAAAAGAATGGAGATACAATACACTGGATAAAGAAGGGATGGAAATCTCGGAGATGCGGGAAGTTTTAACCACCTTGACTACTGAGGAGGATGTTGCACCGAGAACAGCTGCCATTGTCAGAAGGACATCAACGAGTTGTAAGGTTTCTTTTTGATGTTTTCAGGCAATTTCAGTTTCGAGAACATAAGCCATAATTTTCGCAGAAATATTAAAACGCTGTTAAGATGTTAAATATGTACAACACTGACCCGCGAAGATCCGGGGTAGAATAGGTCTTCAGCAACCCATGCTTGCCGTAAAAGGTGACTATGCTTGTCGTACGAGGCGACTAACGGGATCGGGTGGTCAGCCTCGCTGACTTGGTAGAAGCATGTCATCGATCCCAATTGCGTGGATTGATGCTCATGATGTCAATCACTGGATTGCCTGGTCCAGACTCGATTATTTACAAACCGCCGTCGTATAGCTGGAATATTGCTGAAAGTGGTGTCAAACAACAAACAAACAACAAACAACCAAACAACAACACGTACCACTGGGAAGGGACACTTGCAGGGTATGTTGTTTTCAATGAAAACTTTTGGACAACGACGTTTGACCAACAACTCGCAGAAGTCCCTGTAGCCACATGATCCAATGTTGCCCATACATGGCACCTGAATCCACATGCCCCAGATCTTCTTCCACAGAGTTACATCAGTCTGGGCAGGAAACAATGTAAACGTTAAAGTTCATCAGCATATAGTCTCTTCTCAGAGCTCCAGATAAGCTGCGTATCTGCGTGAAATACGCATCAGAAATGCAGAAATACGCAGTAAAATAAAATCCAAGCGTATCAAATACGCAACGAACATTACAGATACGCTACAAAAATAAAACTTGTGCTTATCATCAAAATATTGTGAAGTAACCCTGCGTATTCGATTAGCAAATCAGCAACTTATTTTGAAATTATAAACGGGCATTCCGTTAACCTTGCCAAACTCCACGATGACAGTTACATCATGATCATTTGCCATCAACCTTTCTTGTGGAAGTATCGTGGTATTTTAGAGTCCTATTAAGCTCTCGAACCCACACGACACCAGTTTGCAGGGACTAGATGAATAGTGTTTTTTTTAATATTTAACTTAAATACCCACATGTGTAAAAACTAGTGGGTAGCAGAAATTTGAATACCCAGATAGAATTACTGATACCCATAATTTTAAAAAGCATGGGTAAAATACCCACAACACCAAAAGCTTATCTGGAGCTCTGGACTCTTCTGAAACATACCACTAGTGTCCAACGTTTTTTTGTATAAAACAGAAAACTCCGTCCACCCGAACACACACAATATGTCCAAGGGGATTGGTAGGATGGTTTCTTGTTAACGCCGCACTCAGCAATATTCCAGCGTTATGACGGCGGTCTGTAAATAATCGGGTCTGGACTAGACAATCCAGTGATTGACACCATGAGCATCGTTCCACTTAATTGGGATACGATGACATGCATCAACCAAGTCAGCGAGCCTGACCACCCGATCCCGTTAGTCGCCTCTAACAACAAGCATAGTCGCCTTTTCCGGCAAGCATGGGTTGCTAAAGACCTATTCTATCCCGGGTCTGTACCGATAATTTCATGTTCATTAGACCCGTGAAGATCCGGGGTAGAATAAACAACAAACAAAGCAAAAATCATATTCATGAATGAGAATGGTGTGGATTTTCCTTAAAGAAAGCGTTTATATTCAAGAAAATATTTCGACAAAACATTTGCTGCACGTTTTGCAGAAAAAAAACTACGTCGATGTGTAACTCCCGCGCGGTCCTTACAAACTATATATGCTACCAACAAAAATAAGGGAACTGATGTAGTAATAATAAATGTCTGTAAATTAATTGGGGGCGTGTACATGTTGGGAGATACATGCACGACATCTTCGTATTGCTCATCGTTCCGACGGAGAGGGGGCGGTCGGGGAGCCTAGTGGTTAAAGCGTTCGCTCGTCAAGCCGAAGACCCAGGTTCGATTCCTGACATGGGTACAATGTGTGAAGCCCATTCCTGGTGTCCCCCGCCGTGATATTGCTGGAATATTGCTAAAAGCGGCGTAAAACCATACTCACTCACTCACTCCGACGGAGAGCATCCGACAGGGGTTCTATTGGGGGCATGTCATTGGATTTCTGCTTTCTGTCCAGATGCCTTCTCGTCCGAGATAATTGGTGACGACCTGGGCACGATGTGGTCTGGCATTGTCAGATGCAGTGAGACATTTCTGAATGGAACAACGACAGGGTACCACATTTATCAACATATCGCTGCCCAGTCAAATGTCCACTCACTATAACCAATTCAGTTGGCCTGTCGTGTGTCATACTGCCCGATACCATGACACGACCGCCCCCAACCGACCATAGTTGTAACGTGTTTTATGTTTTGGTTTGTCGTAGGAAGACTTATAACTTAACCAACGACGCGTCGATTGTTCCAGTGAACGTTTAACTTCTCTGAGCTCATAGCATAAGACAAGAGTCACTTCCCTTGTACTGTATATAACAGTTATGTGCGCCTATCATAATTACGCCACAATAGTCCACGAATTGTTGGCCTGGCATACAGCTCGCCCTTACCTAGCCAACAACGTTTTCTGCGATTTGTGATTTCGAGGCAAAACCTTCAATCGTCTATACACATGGTATAACGGTTTGGCGAACAACCCGTTCCTGGTGCAGCCTAGCTCATCCCAATCTTTGCCACTTATTGTAAGCTGTTAGCTTCACAGGATGCCTTGCTTACTTTCTTGGAGGCTGCCAAGAGCCGTTTTGTAAAGGTCAAAACTGACATCCTGTTTCTGTATGGAATTCTCTATTTGCGAGAGGAGCAGATTTGAATCCGTTGTGTAGTGCAATTAAGGTTATGGTTTGGTTTGTTTGTTGTTTAACGCCGCACTCAGCAATATTCCGGCTATATGACGGCGGTCGGTAAATAATCGAGTCTGGACCAGACTATCCAGTGATTAATATCGGGAGCATCGATCCACGCAATTGGGATCGATGACATGCATCAACCAAATCAGCGAGCCTGACCACCCGATCCCGTTAGTCGCCTTTTACGACAAGCATAGTCGCCTTTTACGGCAAGCATGGGTTGCTTAAGACCTATTCAACCCCGGTATCTTCACGGGTCAGTTAATGTTCTGACCCGTTCTTGTAAAGGTGTCGTTTTTAGGCCTGCCATGCCCAGGTATCATTGCAACCCCACCCGTTTGACGCTACGTGTGCCATAGTCGAGATTACACTTTTTGATTTGCCAAACATTCGGGAAATTTAGGTTATTGACCCCTCTAAACCCCATTTCACCTCACCTTTGTTCAATCTAAGAGTACCACGAATGAATTATTTCTACAACGAAATATATAGTGTGTTTTTTATATATATACATATATATTTCTCTTTGTTATCAAATATAGACACAGTACCTGTATGGGTGACACGGCTCTTTGCAGGTTTACAACTTTGAAAGCGACTTGTATCACACCCGAAAGTCGGATAGGGTCAGGAGATACTTGCAGTTCTAGTAACCTCGCTGTTTCTGTAGAAGGATCGCCACAGTCTTTGTAAGAGAAAGAGGTCAGTCTTGAACTGAGACTGATGCCCTGAAAATTTAATGTAATGAACTGTCAAGACAGCTGTACATTGTTGCCAATATCGGGAAAACCATAAACAAGTTTTATTTGGAGAAAAATCTGGTATGGCGCTTCACTAACCCTCAGCACCATAACAGTTTTACTAAAGTGAAATCTCAAAGTAAAACCTGGCAAATGGTGGAACAATTGCAAAACACGGTAAGGCACTGGGTTGACAAGATTCATTTTGAACCATACAAATGTGAGAAACAGAATGACCCTATTCGAACTATGCACAGCGAGCTGCTTTCGACTCAACATTGGTCCCTTTCTAAATCCGGATAGCATCACTTCTTTGGCCGTCCCGTGAAGATTCCGGATTAGAATTTGTCTTCAACCCATGCTTGTTGTAAGAGGCGACTATCGGGATCGGGTGGTCAGGCTCGCTGACGTGCTTGATGCATGTCATCGTATCCCAAAAGCGTGGATCGATGCTCATGATGTCAATCACTTGGCTATCTGGTCCAGACTCGATTATCTTCAGGCCGCCGTCATATAACTGAAATATTGCTGAGTGCGGCGTTAAACAATAAACAAGCAAACAAACAAGTAAACAAATCACAGTCTGTTATTGACGACTGGCTTAAACCACGTGCATTTTATAACCCGCTTTCCACGTGAAGCTCGTGATCTCCCTCGAAAGTTAATCTGTTTTCATGACAATCGTCTGAACCGGTTCCAGACTGTCTTTATACTTCTTCGAAGAAAAGTATCAGTTAACGCTCCGAATTTGTTTCTGATGAAAATACTTTTACGGTTGTATTCAAACATTGAACACATTTACAGTCGTAAAGAAACGGAGGAGAACTGTTTTCTGATTAACATATAGGTATCATGGTTCTGTTGCACGCAAAAAGGGAAACAGATTTTTTTTTTGCAGAGTGATTAAGTTGAGAATAGTCACGGCCTATTGATTAGCTTGACGTGGGAGGAAAGTTATGAAATGATCAGGTTTTTTTACTTCTTCAGTTTTGTGAAATCATCTGCTACAAGTATGATCATGATCAGGGCATTTTGGGAATAGCTTAGGCGATATGCGACTCGCGGTGTTTTAAACTACTTCCTAGATATCAGTATCAAGGAAGTGGTATTGCTATAGCATGTGGACGCGAACAGGGAAATAAAATATATGCATATTGTTTCATGTTTATGAAGCACAACAAGGATGCTTGATGAAGATGACAAATCTCCAGGAGCCTCATTACATCGAAATACGTACTTGTTTTCAATTATAAACACCATTGCATGTTTACTTATTTATAATGTTTTACTTTATTTCAAAATATGTTTTCATTGGTTCTCTCTTCTAATGCATAAAGTGTTTCCCAGTTTGTCAGAAATATCCTAATTTCATTTCGGGTTTGAACCCCAGTCCCCAGCAACCCATGTTTGTTGAAAGAGACGACTGAATTAATCGAGTGACACGCCCGGTGAATTGTTTGATTGAATGCAAATCGTTTCTCATTTGCGTTGATCGATGCCTTTTATATCGATAACTGATTTGCTTGTCCCAGACTCGAGGTGAGGTGAGGTGAAATGGGGTTTAACGTCGCGTCCAAGATTATTGCACTTATATTGCGACGTGCATGTACGTGTGTGTGTTTGTGTGGCTGCTTGTACTAGTCCGGACTGATGCCGATTTATAGTGCTAGCTCACTGAGATACCATGCCGCAGTTTAACATGAATACCCCACTCAGACACAGTATACTGACTCCGAGCCGACCAGTCCTTGTTTTAGCCCCTTAATGCCGAGCGCCAGACAGGGTAACAACAAGTACCATCTTTTAACGTCTTTTGGTATGACGCGGCCGGGGATCGAACCCTGGACCTTCCGCTCTCCGGGCGGACGCTCTACCACTAGACCACGGAGGCGGTCCGTCCCAGACTCGATTATATACTGACCGCCACCATATAGCTTGAATATTCCCCCTGCCAATCTTGTGTCACATGGTGCACAACCATTCTGTTTCTTCCTTGTTGATTTTTATTTCGATGTGTTTGTTTGCTGTTCAACGACGCCCCCAGCAATAAGCCTGCTATATGACGGTTGGTTGGTTGGTTTGTTGTTTAACGCCGCACTCAGCAATATTCCAGCTATATGACGGCGGTCTGTAAATAATCGAGTCTGGACAAGACAATCCAGTGATTAACATCATGAGCATCGATCCACGCAATTGGATACGATGACATGCACCAAACAAGTCAGCGAGCCTGACCACCCGATCCCATTAGTCGCCTCTTACGACAAGCAACGTCGTCTGTAATTGCAAGCATTGGTTGCTGAAGACCTATTCTACCCCGGATCCCAACTCCTTCAATGAAAATGTGTTCTTGGATCGATGACATGCATCAACCAAGTTAGCGAGCCTGACCACCCGATCCCGTTAGTCGCCTGGGGCAAGTATGGGTTGCTGAAGACCTATTCTACCCCGGAATCTTCACGGGTCACTATATGACGGAGGACTGTAAATAATCGAGTCTAGACCAGACAATCTAATTATTGATATCATTAGCAACGAAGTCAGCGACCATCTTACGACAAGTAAGTTGCCTTAGTGAGATTTATATACATTCTTTAAGTGGCTCAATGGAATTTGATATATTACCGACAAAGTTGACACAATTTGATGATTGCTGTAAAAGGCGACTATGCTTGTCGTAGGAGGCGACTAACGGGATCGGGTGGTCAGGCTCGCTGACTTGGTTGATGCATGTCGTCGATCCCAATTGCGCTGATCGATGCTCATAATATCAATCACTTGATTGTCTGGTCCACACTCGATTATTTACAGACCGCCGTCATAACGCTGGAACATTGCTGAGTGCGGCGTTTAACAACAAACCAACCAACCAATTTAACTCGCTTGACGACAGTATTGGGATTTATGATAAATACTTCCGACAATGAGAATTATTATGAATTGTTCAAAACGTCACAATAATATTCTATTTAATATATTATATTAATTAATTGCATTGTACTTTTGATTTTTATATAATGTTTCAATTGTCATAATGAAATAGTATTTGATGTATTTCTGTTTAAAAACGCCATGTTATGTAATAACAGATAAATCAATTAGGGAAAGCTATCCTACGATTTTCTGATTAAAAACGCCATGCTATGTAATAACAGATAAATCAATTAGGGAAAGCTATCCTACGATTAAGGATAACAATCATTATATATCTAAATTTACCATCGCTTAACATTTGAAACATTGAAATAGAGGAGTTATTGGACAGTAACGCGGAGTCCTAAGTACGTACGTAGCTTATTTTACCGAACAATTCATAACAGACCCGTGATGATTCCGGGGTAGAACAGGTCTTCAGCAACCCATGCTTGCCGTAAAAGGCGACTATGTTTGTCGTAAAAGGCGGCTAACGGGATCGGGTGATCAGGCTCGCTGACTTAGTTGATGCATGTCATCGATCCCAATTGATTGGATCGATGCTCATGATATTAATCAGTGGATTGTCTGGTCCAGACTTGATTATTTACAGACCGCCGTCATATAGCTGGAATATTGCTGAGTGCGGCGTTAAACAACCAACCAACCAACCATAACAATTCTCATAGTCCACGTATATATTATGAACCAATTTCCTGAACTCATTGAATACCTCAGCATTTATTTTCTTTTTCAGTATTGGCTAGCTCTGTCGGCAGCTATCATCATCCACAGCAATGAAATACATACATCCGGGTCATACTGAGAAACTTAAAGTTCCCTTCAAATAATTCAAAGATGAAAACCACTCACATATTTCTGGAAATACAACTCTGGCATATACCTCTCGGGTGTTCGATGTCGCATCAAAATTTCCATGATGTCGAAAACATCCTTAGAATTTTTATCGTAAGGCGTGAAGTTCAGTACGCTAGAAGCACTAGCTCCCTTGATAAGAAACAGTAGGGCAACGATGACAGAAGCCTTCATTCATGTCTGTATACATTCACACTCTCTTGTGTATGGCTGTGTAAAACACGCGCTAATATATCCTGCCAGATACTTCTTCCTGGTATCCCGAATGGTGAAATGATATTGTGGTTTCGTATAACCAGTGGCTATGAACACCAGTTACATTACGACTGAAGTAGTGACAGCATCAGCATTAAGATTTTTTTTAACAATCCGTGTCCAATTAGACATCTTATGTACCACAGATTACACGCAGCTCAGACAACAAGTCCTACATTACAATTGGTTAGGTAATTTGTTGTTTAACGCCGCACTCGGCAATATTCAAGCCTCATGAAGGCGGTCTGTAAATAATCGAGTCTGGACCAGACAATCCAGTAATTGACATCGTGAGCATTGATCCACGCAATTGGGATCGATGACATGCATCAACCAAGTCAGCGAGCCTGACCACCCGATCCCGTTAGTCGCCTTTTATGGCAAGCATGGGTTGCTGAAGACCTATTCTAACCCGGATCGTAACGGATTACAATAACATTTTGGCTGCCCCAGTACAGAGCAGCTTCCCTGTTCGACATGCTTGATGTCAGGAAGACATTTGGTGAGTTTGCTGATTGCGTTTCATCTAACCCCGATATATAATGCTTTCTGAGATTGGGTTGTATCTTCGGCAGTAGAAGATTACAGAGTATTCTGCATGAGTCCATAGCACGGTCTACCGGAAGTTTACATATCACACTAGCATCTGAATATAGTAACTTCCTGACAACTGCTTACTGTAAATAGTACTACATTCCTCACGTCTAATCACTGTCCATACACAAAGAAACAACGTCTAAGGCGCCGCGATTCGCTGTGCAGAGTTGCGTCCCCTGGGCACGCCAGAAACCTATGATTGTGGGTTCGAATCCCGGTTCGTCCCGATTATGTTTCTAGGTTTGTCAGCACCATACCCGTGCTCGTGGGTTTCACCGAAGTGGTAAACGTCTGAGACCTGCATCACTTCGGGCTTTCCTCCCACATTAAGCTGACACGCCGTGATATAACTGGAATACTGTTAAACGCGGCGTTAAACCCAACTCACTCACTCAATAAGTTATATCCTACCCTTTGGTTTCCATGTCCATGACAACAACGGTGTGATGCTACTGTGAAACACAAATCTCTGAAAATGCTGATGCGCAACAAATCGTCGTCGATCACAATATGCGAAATAATGCTTCAAAGAAAAGTGTGTTATCAATTTGTATCGAAAAATACGGTGTTAGCGTTGGGCGTCTCAACGTGCGTGATTCCCGTGCAACCTTTCGAGTTGAGTTGATTGGTTCAACTGTGTCATATGGCCCTGTGACGCAGAGGTAGCATTATGCAGATGGATGTTACAATGAATGCTCGTTCCACCCGTGACGAACAGGTCTGGTTGTTGATGAAATTTAGTGATAGCTAAATAGACAGATTTGTTATTCATGCACCGATTGTCTTAAATGTAATATGCAGTTATGCATGACTGTTTAATAATCTCATACCAACTTTGACTGGAGTAGGTCCAATAGTTTTTCAGATATTGTAGTAAACGTCAGTACCTTAAATTACCTTCCAGACTTATTTATATCAAAGCTCATATTTGTAAATAAAATCCCAGTCGGGGACGGGCATTAATAGCCCCCAGCCCTCTTGCGTGTTGTAAGTTGCGTCCAACACCGATCAGTGCATACGACTCAGTGACTTTACCCTCATTTGTGTGGGGCGGTCGGGTAGCCTAGTGGTTAAAGCGTTCGCTCGTCAAGCCGACGACCCGGGTTCGATTCCCGACATGGGTACAATGTGTGAAGCCCATTTCTGGCGTCCCCTGCCGTGATATTGTTGGAATATTGCTAAAAGCGGCGTAAACCATACTCACTCACTCACGCATTTGTGTGGTGAAGACTCGAGTCTTGCAGGCTGCGGCGTTGTGTTACACAACTCACACACTCACTTGACGATAACAATGCGAGTTGCCCTGATATAAATATAGGTCACCCACGAAACACTCTTACAGGGTTGGGAGAACACATAAATACATGATAATAATAGGGATTAATGTTTCATATTATTTTAGTCGCATCGACCATAAGTAGGTTTATCTAGTGTATCACAGGATCTACTTTGGCACTTGCTATGACAATAGAAGTAACTTCCTAACAACAATTAGTCACTCGTCTCCTGAAGTCGGGCAGGCTGGTCACAATGTCAAGGATACAGATCGTCAATTGAAATCGGCTGTCACAACAAAATATGACATGGCCACGCTGGGCGCTCTCAGCAATGCTATAGATAACTGGAGACGTGGAAATTCACTTGATGCTTCTGTTTGTTCATCCTAGTTTTACAAACGTTTATGACTGCATTACAGTACTATCGAACTCAGTTTGAAGAAACAAACAAACAAACAAACATGTTAGGGTTTCGTTGAAGTTATGCACTATCCACTGCCCACCGATGATAACAATGATAATGTCATTTGGACGAAAACAAGGTCTCTGTCAATAGTACAAAACCCAATGTTCAAAGACTTTGTTTTTTTGTTTCTTTGGGGTTTAACGCTACTCTCTGCACTATTCCAGTTACGTGACGGTGGGTTGTACAGAGTGAGTGAGTGAGTATGGTTTTACGCCGCTTTTAGCAATATTCCTGCAATATCACGGCGGGGGACACCAGAAATGGGCTTCACACATTGTACCCATGTCGGGAATCGAACCCGGGTCTTCGGCGTGACGAGCGAACGCTTTAACCACTAAGCTAACCGACCTCCCCCTGTACAGAATGAAGTCTGCACCAAACAAACAAGTGATTGATATTATGAACAACGTCCAACGCCATCGGGGCTACGATAACACACAATGAGCCAAGTTACCGAGTCTGACCAAACAATTGAGCTGCCTCGTTTTACAAGCATAGGATGCTGCATACCAAATCTCACCCGGTTTGTGCATGGAGTGAGTGAGTGTTTTTACCCTGCCTTGCATTCGACATTGGAGGGATAATACAAGGACTGGTCAGCTCAGACTCAATATACCGTGTCTGACTGAGGTATCAATTTTAAACTGCGGCATGCTATCTCATTTTTTTAGCACTATAAAACCGGCAATAGTTCTGACTAGTACCAGTGTTCTAAAAACAAAGAGAACTTGTTCATTATGGTTGTTTGGAATCGAACACACAACCTGCAGATCACAAGTCAGGCACTCTAGCCATTGGACCGCAGGACTGGTTGACGATAGGTGGTTTATATGAAGGCATCATTTAGGGTATATATATATATGTGGGTAAGCAATACAAAACTGGCATATATGTACGTCCGGACCATGACAAGAACGCACACACGCACGCACGTACGCACGCACGCACGCACGCACGCACGCACGCACACACACACACACATTCGACGTCAAACCCCATTTCATCTCACCTTCACTTCCTTTCTGTATTGGGGGCACGGGTGGCCCAGTCGTCTAATGCGCCGCGATTCGCTGTGCAGAGTTGCGTCCCCTTGGCACGCCAAAAACCTATATTTGTGGGTTCGAATCCCGGTTCGCCCCAATTATGTTTCTAGGTTTGTCAGCACCATACCCGTGATCGTGGGTTTCAGCGAAGTGGTAAACGTCTGAAACCTGCATCACTTCGGGCTTTCCTCCCACATTAAGCTGACACGCCGCGATATAACTGGAATACTGTTAAAAGCGGCGTTAAACCCAACTCACTCACTCACTCACTCCTTTCTGTATTACCCTTGATGATCCGGGGTAGAATAGGTTTTCAGTAACCCATGCTTGCCGTAAAAGGCGACTATGCTTTTCGTAAGAGGCGACTAACGGGATCGGGTGGTCAGGCTCGCTGACTTGGTTCATGCATGGCATCGATCTCAATTCCGTGGATCCATCCTCGTCATATCAATCACTGGATTGTCTGGTCCAGACTCGACTATTTACAGACCGCCGTCATACAGCTGATGTTGTGTTATCTTTCTGTACACATAGTGAGTGAGTGACTTAGGTTAACGCTGCTTTGAACAGTTTTCCAGTTATCTCACGGCGTATCGAGGACGAGTATGGTGCTGCAAAACCTAAAAACATAATAGGGGCGATTCGGGATTCGAACCCACGATCATAGGTTTGTGGCGTGCCCAAGGGACACAACTCTTCACAGCGAATTGCGGCGCCTCAGACGACTGGGCAACTCGTTCTCCCTTCTGTACAAGGAAGTGAATTAATTATGTTTTGTGACTGTGCAATCGCGGTTTCAATGTTTAAGATACCTTTAGATTTTGTCAGCACAATTCCCACAGATTAATTTGACATGGTTCATGCCACAAGTGGTGAGAGATTAAGACAACAGGTGCCAACAGGTCAAAGATAAGATTAAAGTTATCTGTTGTCAATTTCCGCTTATGTAACAACTCAGATAATGTCACAAAGGTTATGAGGTTGCCTTGACATTGTAATGCACAATGAAGAGTGAATTATCTATCGCAGTAAAGCGAAATTGTCGTTATAAACAGCTGCAGAGAGATTTGTTTGTTTGTTTGTTTGTTTAACGCCTTACTCAGTAATATTCCAGCTATATGACGGCGGTCTGTAAATTAAGCAGTGATCCAGTGATTGATATAATGAGCATCGATCCACGCAATTGGGATACGATGACATGCATCAATCAAGTCAGAGAGCCTGACCACCCGATCCCGTTAGTCGTTTCTTACGACAAGCATAGTCGCCTTTTACGGCAAGCATGGGTTGCTGAAGACCTATTCTAAGACCTATTCTACCCCGGATCTTCACGGGTCAGCTGCACAGAGAACAATGTAATACAGTTTTGGAAATAGTTGTACAATATATGCCATGTATGGTTTATTATACCGAGCATAATGTCCGTCATGCTAGAAAGGAGAACACAAACAAATCTTTCTAACATATTAAAAACAAATGTAAACGCCTGAGAATAACCAGCCTCTAATATCCGCCGAAACAGATGTTATTGTGCATAAATGCAAAATAGCGGTGATAAGTACGTGAACAGATCCATGAAAATCAGTGACGATACCAGGTGCTCGGGTTAACATGTGCCGCTCTACCAGTAGCGCCCGCCATTACATAAACAGGAAGTGTTTCTGTGTTGCCTGACGCCGCACATCATGCGACAGCAGCTTAGTGTGCAAACCATCATCTTCCTGAGGCAAGTGAGTTAACTGACTATAGAAGTCCAGTTTCCACCCTTGCCGAACTAGACTGGTATTATGGAGTTACAATTTGGCTGGACTAACGAGTCTATGTATAGTCCAATCAAAATCGCGCAACGAAATCGCAATCCTGTTCGTAAACTGTCATGCAGATTTCGGTCGACTGCAGGATTTGCAAAGCATGTGCACCGCCAACTCGTTGTCAGCAAATATTTTCAAAATCGTTGCATGTTCGTAATCAAGGTGCTCGCGTGATTTGATGCATTTTGCGATGTAAGACCCGTTTTATTGCAATATAGATCTTGAATATCGAGCAGATCGTCCTGACTTGACGCCGCCATTTTGTTTGAAGCAAATGCAAGTGATGCGAGAGGTGGAATCTGATTGGTCCATAGGAGAGGCTTAGAAGGGGCATAACTCGTAATAGCCACTGGTGGCGCTACGATCGAGCCCAGGAATTCCAGCCTAGCTCGGCAAGGGTGGAAACTGGACTTTTAAAGTCAGTTAACTCTCTTGCCTCGGGAAGATGGCAAGCCATACAATCAAGTGATGAATCAAGAATGGAACCTGTGACCTTCGTCTGACTGTCACCCACTGTAACCACACACACGCGCACACATACACACACACACACACACACACACACACACACACACACACACACACACACACACACACACACACACACACACACACACAGAGTGATTACCAGTACATCAGCAAAGTAGTCGAGTAGTCTACATAGTTACTATAGCCTGTGTGGGGCGATCGGGTAGCCTAGTGGTTAAAACGTTCGCTCGTCACGCTGACGCCCCGGGTTCGATTCCCGACATGGGTACAATGTGTGAAGCCCATTTCTGGTGTCCCCCGCCGTGATATTGCTGGAATATTGCTAAAAGCGGCGTAAAACCATACTCACTATAGCCTGTATGTTTGCAGATATTATTACACAAAGTAAATTTATAATTTTAAATTCATACTATAATACCTTTTGTACCCAGACATCTGTAGCCAGCACATGATGCTTGGTGTCTATTCTAACCTGATATTACCGCAAAGCGCATTCATAATAATGTAAAAGTTGTTTACAGAAGTGTTACAACTCGACATAAATATAGCTAATTGTACGGACACTTTAGTGTCATAAACACCACACCAATTCGATTAGTTTGACATATAAAAAAAATTATATTTGGGATAACACTTCCCGAGTAAAGTACACATTCTAGGACTTTTTGGGGTTGAGCCCCAACCGAAATTCGCACCCACACTCTCACAGTGAGGCACAAATATCCAACACACAAAAGTACTTGACTTTGTACTTTACTCAGAAGGTCTTATCCTAAATACACCATTTGTTACACTTGACCACTTTCTAAATTGCATTGTGTATTCAGAGATCTGTTTGGCATACTTCACATATTCCCTGCGAGACTCTGTTTGTAATTCCACAGAACTCGTCAGAGCAAATAATGTTTCATTGTTTGTATTTAAGTAGATTTAAGGATCTAGGAAGAGACATGCACAGTTGGGCTGACTGTATATGAAATATTAACCGGCTCACATGATCCAGGCCAAGTAACACTGCAGTACAGTGTGGATATAAATGTAAGCGAAACCGATAGATGTGCAGTCCCGCGTTGATGAATGTCAGCCAAGCAACTGCGTGTGCAGTCCCGCGTGGTTTGATGTAATGTAAGCCGATACACGTAGTATTACCAGGAGTGACATTGCAGACCCTAATGTAGCCATACATTTATCGTTTGACGGTAATAATTTGGAAATTTGTTCTTTATTGTTATTTTTTCTCCCAAGGGTTCCGTCGCTAATAAGTTTAAAGAGTTGATGGTACGATTGTGAGGCGCCTTCTGCAATATGCCCGCAATATCTCGACGGGGGATAACAGCAATGATCTTTACCCCTGGTACCCATGGGATGGTTTGTATTTTTTTTATTTACAGGGTGAACAGAAGAGCAGTATGACTTTTTGACATAAAACAATCAACATGGTTTTGAAAACATAAGATCACATAACTGTTTGACATGTAGATGTTGGTCGTAACAGAAGCAAGACATGTACAGTTGTACATGATTCATGTTAAAGACTATTCAATTGGTTTTATCGCAAAATTATTAGTGTTAAGCCTTGTACGTACAGGACTGTATGAAGCACACGATAAATAACACAGAAACGAATTACGAAAGTAGAAGAATCTTTTCACAATCATTAAAATGAAAAATAGTATGCATTATTACAGTAAACTATAATTAAGTTAACATTTGCATGTCAATTTCACGCACAAGTTTGTGTAAGAGACGACGATGTTGTTACGACGATAGGCCAAGATGTTTGTCAACTGGGGCAAACTGATACAGTATTATTTTACCAGCAGTAGCTAGCGTCCATGTATACTACTCAAGGGAAGTTAAGGATCACCTGATTCTTTCATATTACTATAGTTAATCTCTCATGTCATGACGGGGGGCACGGGTGGCCCAGTCGTCTAAGGCGCCGCGATTCGCTGTGCAGAGTTGCGTCCCTTGTGCACGCCAGAAACCTATGATTGTGGGTTCGAATCCCGGTTCGCCCTAATTATGTTTCTAGGTTTGTCAGCACCATACCCGTGCTCGTGGGTTTCACCGAAGTGGTAAACGTCTTAGACCTGCATCACTTCGGGCTTTCCTCCCACATTAAGCTGACACGCCGTGATATAACTGGAATAATGTTAAAAGCGGCGTTAAACCCAACTTACTCACTCACTCATGTCATGACAGATTAACTTTACCATTATGAAAGAATCGGGTGATCCTTAACTTCTTTTGAGTAGTATATAGCTGCTGACCTTCACTCCCGAGTGACAGCTTATCGTGTCACACACACACTGTACTGGCGATATACAATAGGTCGTCATCAGGCCACGTCTGGGTAGCTTACATATCCAAATATTAAGGTGATTGGTGAGAAACATGAATATTTTCACAACCATTGCACTATTCTGTGCCATATCGGGGGCGTGTAGCTACCACGTAACAAAGTTCAAGTCTTACGATGAAACTACCAAGGATGCGTACGACATCATGGAAATATTGATGCGTCACCGGACCCCCGAGAGATACCTGCCACAGTCTTATTTCCAGAAATATGTGAGTTATAATTATATGTGTATATTTGTAAATCTCATGGGTTTGTAATCAAAATTGTAAACCATAATAGCGATAAAACCATTTTATAATCAGACGAAATATCTACTATAAAGTTGCCACTACTATTAATAGTGATGATATAACCAGGTATTCGCGAAAAGGTGCGCATTCCCTGCCCCTACAGTGGCCTTTGTCTGAAACACATGCAAAAGCAAGTCAACTGTTCACCTGCAAAAACACGGGAACGTATGGCACAAGTCAAAATAGGGAATAAGCCTTACACGACCTGAAGTTGTGTTTATTATTGTTCCATTAAGACCATTACTATCATTAAAATGAAAAACACACATTGTTCAGAGGGGCATATAGATGTTGGAAATTTACAAGCTATTCATAAATTACTCACTATTGTATTCATCACCAAACTATTGAGCATACATAAGAAGTATTAACAATGTATACATACTGTTAAAAGTATCGTTAATCTTACTTAGCGGTATTGGCAAATGGTGACTGACGTCTTTTAAGATGTCCATCGAACTACCTCAATGTCTGTAGAATTTATAAACGTATACTTTCCGGTACTTAAAGAGGCGGTGAAGAAGCATACTGGTCAACCCATTTGCTAGAATTCGATTCCCTTCGTGGATTCACCATGTGAAGGTGTAGGGTCATATGTGTGAAATATGAATAATAAGGCGTAAGGCATTGTAGTGAGTGAGTGAGTGAGTGAGTATGGTTTTACGCCGCTTTTAGTAATATTCCAGCAATATCACGGCGGGGGACACCAGAAATGGACTTCACACATTGTACCCATGTCGGGAATCGAACCCGGGTCTTCGGCGTGACGAGCGAACGCTTTAACCACTAGGCTACCAGACCGCCCCCTAAGGCATTGTAAAGTTAATAAGACAATTTGAATTTTGCACTGTTGCTTGCTAATCAAACATGGTTCCTGTAACATTACTGTCAAAGGTTAAAACACCTCATCCCCTAAACAAAACGTACTTATTAAATATTATGTACTGTCTGTGTTTTCTCATTGTGTCTGTAACCCTTTCTTTGTCATAATTATTTTTTTCTTTAGGGTGGTGGTCGCAGTTCACAGCTGACGTCTTTCTCTTATAAAAACTGTGGTGACCCCGCAACGGAAACAGCGAGACTTCTTGATCTGCAAATAACTCCAGACCCAATTGTACTTCCTGGTAATGTACAATTGGCCTTTAAAGTGCAGAACTTGAAAACAGCCCAGTCACCCATACAGGTATGTCTGTGTGTGTGTGTGTGTGTGTGTGTGTGTGTGTGTGTGTGTGTGTGTGTGTGTGTGTGTGTGTGTGTGTGTGTGTGTGTGTGTGTGTGTGTGTGTGTGTGTGTGTGTGTGTGTGTGTGTGTGTGTGTGTTTTCGTGTGGTGTGTGTGTGTGCGTGTGCGTGTGTGTGCGTGTGTGTGTGTTTTGGAGATTATATCTGCACTCAGCAATATTCCAGCTTCATGACGGCGGCCTGTAATAAATCCATTGGGGACCAGGACCAACTTGTACAAAGCGATCATTGCGATCATTGCCATATGCATAGACTCGTTAGTCCAGCCAAATTGTAACTCCATAATACCAGCCTAGTTCGGCAAGGGTGTAAACTGGATTTTTATACTCAGTTAACTCTCTTGCCTCGGGAAGATGGACAGATTACTGTTGTCTACAAACTGTAAAAAGTTAAAAGAATGATTTTGTACCATAAATAGAATCTCACCATCGTGTCTTTTCATAGCTAACACTCGGGTGAGATTCTCTATACGTTTAAACTTAGAAAACGGATGTGATAAAATCTCCCCCTTGATTACATTACACTACTGAGATGTCCTTGTACGTCAGAGGAGTGCCCCTAATGATCTATTTAACGCCATACGTTTGTTGTGAATGAGTGAGTTTGGCCTAACGCAGCTTTAAGCAAAGCCATATATGATTCAGACTGTAAACGTTATCAAGGATAGTATTCACGGCCCCAACTGGGATTCGAACCCACTATCAGTCGATCCCGATACCTCTCAGGGTAACAAATCCGCATTTTGAGTTGCATTGGTGTATCTTTGCACCTGTTGCACCTGTGCTCTTTCACCTCGGCCGTTAAAAGTGCATTACTGATGACGTGTATTTAATGATACACACACTGTTTGTCTTTATGCAGGCTGACGTGGTCTTGAGGAAGAAGATTCTGTCCATATGGGTGGAAATTCCTTGCATTGAGAATGTAGGATCCTGTAGTTATTCCGACTTTTGTGAAGTTCTGGCGCCAGCCCAATGTCCAGAGCCCTTCACCGAGAACAACATTCCCTGCAAGTGCCCTTTTCCTGAGGTGAGTCTACTGCTTGAATACATAGTAAAACCAAACTTTTTATGCTGTTTATAAATATGACCACCGACATGTCTACTGGTTCCTTTGTCTGCTGCCTACAAATATGATCACTCACACGTCCATTAGTTCCACTGCCTGCTGCCAACAAATATGATCACTAACTTGTCCACTAGTTCCCTTTGCCTGCTGCCTACAAATATGATCACTCACACGTCCACTAGTTCCCTTTGCCTGCTTCCTACAATATGACCACTCACACGTTCACTAGTTCCCTTTGCCTGCTGCCTACAAATATGATCACTCACCTGTTCACAAGTCCCCGTTGCCTGCTGCCTACAAATATGATCACTCACACGTTCACTAGTTCCCGTTGCCTGCTGCCTACAAATATGATCACTCACACGTCCACTGGTGCCCTTGGCCTGCTGCCTACAAATATGATCACTCACACGTCCACTAGTTCTCTTTGCCTGCTGCCTACAAATATGATCACTCACACGTCCATTAGTTCCCGTTGCCTGCTGCCAACAAATATGATCACTAACTTGTCCACTAGTTCCCCTTGCCTGCTTCCTACAAATATGATCACTCACACGTACACTAGTCCCCTTTGCCTGCTGCCTACAAATATGATCACTCACACGTTCACTAGTATCCTTTTCCTACTGCCTACAAATATGATCACTCACACGTCCAGTAGTTCCCTTTGCCTGTTGCCTACAAATATGATCACTCACACGTTCACTAGTTCTCTTTGCCTGCTGCCTACAAATATGATCACTCACACGTCCATTAGTTCCCGTTGCCTGCTGCCAACAAATATGATCACTCACACGTTCAGTAGTTCCCTTTGCCTGTTGCCTACAAATATGATCACTCACACGTCCACTATTTCCCTTTGCCTGCTGCCTACAAATATGATCACTCACACGTCCACTAGTTACCCTTGATTGCTGCTTAAACATATGATCACTCACACGTTCACTAGTTCCCGTTGCCTGTAAACGTTCAAATATGATCACTCACACGTCCACTAGTTCTCCTTGCCTGCTGCCGACACATATGATCACTCACACGTCCACTAGTTCCCTTTGCCTGCTGCCTACAAATATGATCACTCACACGTCCATTAGTTCTCTTTGCCTGCTAGGTACAAATATGATCACTCACACGTCCACTAGTTCTCCTTGCCTGCTGCCGACACATATGATCACTCACACGTCCACTAGTTCCCTTTGCCTGCTGCCTACAAATATGATCACTCACACGTCCATTAGTTCTCTTTGCCTGCTAGGTACAAATATGATCACTCACACGTCCACTAGTTACCCTTGACTGCTGCCTACAAATATGATCACTCACACCTTCACTACTTGCCTTTGCCTGCTGCCTACAAATATGATCACTCACACCTTCACTACTTCCCTTTGCCTGCTGCCTACAAATATGATCACTCACACGTTTACTAGTCCCCTTGGCCAGCTGCCTACACATATGATCACTCACACGTCCACTAGTTCCCTTTGCCTGTTGCCTACAAATATGATCACTCACACGTCCACTAGTTCCCTTTGCGTCTTGCCTACAAACATGATCACTCACACATCCACTAGTTCCCTTTGCCTGCTGCCTACAAATATGATCACTCACACGTCCATTAGTTCGCTTTGGCTGCTACCTTCAAATAACACCACTAACACGTCCACTTGTTAACCTTGACTGCTGCCTACATGTACAGATATGATCACCAACACGTTCACAAGTTCCCGTTGCCTGCTACTTACAAATATGATCACTCACACGTCCACTAGTTCTCTTTGCCTGCTGCCTACAAATATGATTACTCACACGTTCACTAGTTCCCTTTGACTGCTGCCTACAAATATGATCATCAACACGTTCACTAGTATCATTTGCCTGCTGCCAACAAATATGATCACTATCTCGTCCACTAGTTCCCTTTGACTGCTGCCTACAAATATGATCACTCACACGTTCAAGAGTTCCCTTTGCCTTCTGCCTACAAATATGATCACTCACACCTTCACTACTTCCCTTTGCCTGCTGCCTACAAATATGATCACTCACACGTTTACTAGTCCCCTTGGCCAGCTGCCTACACATATGATCACTCACACGTCCACTAGTTCCCTTTGCGTCTTGCCTACAAACATGATCACTCACACATCCACTAGTTCCCTTTGCCTGCTGCCTACAAATATGATCACCCACACGTCCATTAGTTCGCTTTGGCTGCTACCTTCAAATAACACCACTAACACGTCCACTTGTTACCCTTGACTGCTGCCTACAAGTACAGATATGATCACCAACACGTTCACAAGTTCCCGTTGCCTGCTACTTAAAAATATGATCACTCACACGTCCACTAGTTCTCTTTGCCTGCTGCCTACAAATATGATTACTCACACGTTCACTAGTTCCCTTTGCCTGCTGCCTGCAAATATGATCACCAACACGTTCACTAGTATCATTTGCCTGCTGCCAACAAATATGATCACTATCTCGTCCACTAGTTCCCCTTGACTGCTGCCTACAAATATGATCACTCACACGTTCACTAGTATCCTTTGCCTGCTGCCTACAAATATGATCACTCACACGTCCAGTAGTTCCCTTTGCCTGCTTCCTACAAATATGATCACTCACACGTTCACTAGTATCATTTGCCTGCTGCCAACAAATATGATCACTATCTCGTCCACTAGTTCCCTTTGACCGCTGCCTACAAATATGATCACTCACACGTTCACTAGTATCCTTTGCCTGTTGCCTACAAATATGATTACTCACACGTCCACTAGTTCCCTTTGCCTGCTTCCTACAAATATGATCACTCACACGTCCACTAGTTCCCTTTGCCTGCTGCCTACAAATATGATCACTCACACGTTCACTAGTTCCCTTTGCCTGCTGCCTACAAATATGATCACTCACACGTTCACTAGTATCATTTGCCTGCTGCCAACAAATATGATCACTATCTCGTCCACTAGTTCCCTTTGACCGCTGCCTACAAATATGATCACTCACACGTTCACTAGTATCCTTTGCCTGTTGCCTACAAATATGATCACTCACACGTCCACTAGTTCCCTTTGCCTGCTTCCTACAAATATGATCACTCACACGTCCACTAGTTCCCTTTGCCTGCTGCCTACAAATATGATCACTCACACGTTCACTAGTTACCTTTGCCTGCTGCCTACGAATATGATCACTCAAAGGTTCACAAGTTCCCGTTGCCTGCTGCCTACAAATATGATCACTCACACGTCCACTAGTTCCCTTTGCCTGCTGCCTACAAATATGATCACTCACACGTTCACTAGCTCCCTTTGCCTGCTGCCTACAAATATGATCACTCAAAGGTTCACAAGTTCCCGTTGCCTGCTGCCTACAAATATGATCACTCACACGTTCACTAGTTCTATTTTCCTGCTGCCTACAAATATTATCACTCACACGTTCACTAGTTCCCTTTTCCTGCTGCCTACAAATATGATCACTCACACGTTCACTAGTTCCCTTTGCCTGCTGCCTACAAATATGATCACTCACACGTCCACTAGTTCCCGTTGCCTGCTACCTACAAATATGATCACTCACACGTTCACTAGTTCCCTTTGCCTGTTGCCAACAAATATGATCACTCACACGTCCACTAGTTCTCTTTACCTGCTGCCTACAAATATGATCACTCACACGTTCACAAGTTCCCGTTGCTTGCTGCCTACAAATATGATCACTCACACGTCCACTAGTTCTCTTTACCTGCTGCCTACAAATATGATCACTCACACGTCCACGTCATGCCTAAAAATATGATCACGATCATGTCCTTGAAACTGTTCTTCCTGAAATGAATTGACCAAGATGTTATCAACCCTGCCTGTACTTTTCTATCATGTGTGGCGATTAGCCATATCACTGTGACACACTGCTGCACTTTATATCATATTTACTTAAACACATTCATTCCAGGGCAACTACACACTCCCCAGTACCCAGCTGGAGATCAACTTATCAGACATTCCAAGTGGGGACTATTCGGGACAAATTGACCTCAAGATGGACTCGGCGCCCATAGCGTGTTACGAAGTAGAGATTACACTTGCATAATTTGAAATATTGCCAATGACTTTCAAATCATGACTATTATATATTTTTGCATATTGCTCATTACTTTTTGGTAGTTTGTTTCTGAACTAGTATAATAATCTAATGTCATGGAAAGTCGCTTCTCGTTGAGGATCCCGCTGATCTGTATTCAGAGTATTAAACTGATCCTTAAATAGATGCTGCTATAAACTTTATGATTTTATTTCACTATCCATACGAAAATAAGATGGGGGTTAATGTGCATTCTGTCTTTCTAGGCACTGTTAGTGCCTTCCCTGACACATTCCTACTGTACCATATTGAAACATAGTGAAATCACGCACGGTGTAAGCATGTGTGCTAATAAACTATCTGTCTTGAAAGGCGAGCATAAAGAAAATGGATTGCTTTTACTATACTAATGTTCAAGCCACTGATGGGATAGAACTGAATATGCGACCAAGACTCCACGAGTTTCCTCCCTTTTATGCGTGCGGGTTTGAACGGCTCTTCTCGTTGATTGTGATTATATGTTCAATCTTTGTAACCCGAAGTTGTTTTGATTTCTTAGCTTGTTGTTTTACGCTCCAGTAAACAATATTCCAGACGCATCACGACGGCCTGTTTTTTCGTCACACATTTATCGTGACTTTGAGGAATGAACTCTGCCGCTCGACTGAGAGACTTATTATTAACATACTAGTCAGACTGATGTATTAACTAATCCGTCAAACTGAAGTATTAACACATCCATCAAACTAAAGTATTAGCACACCGGCTAGTCTGTTATATTAACACACACTAAGATATGAACACACCCATTGCACTGATGTGTTAACTCATCCATTAGGCAAAAGTATTAACACAACCATTAGAATGACGTACAAACACGCACGTAAGACTGAAATATTAACACATCAATCGGCCTGAAGTATTAACATAACCGTCTGAATCACATCTGTTAACTGAAATATTTACACATCAGACAGAATTAAGCATTTACACAACCGTTATACTGTAGTAGAAGCACACCCTTCAGCCTGAAGTATTAACATGTAACAATACCCGTAGGGGGCACGGGTGGCCCAGTCGTCCCAATGCGTTCAATGGCCAATACAGCTTGCCCAATGCATGCAATGGTCAGTGACGTGTATGAGTTTAAAATCTTATTCACAGAAGGGAAAAGGTCGAACAATATGAGGCCGGGTGTTGTCATGTTGAAAGGTAATGCCTGGGCCATGACGACGCAAAAACGGTAGAACAACAGGGCCGATGAACTCGTCTCGGTAGCGCTGTCCATTGAGATTTCCCTCTACCACTATCAAACGGGTCCTCTGTCTTGCTGTAATCCCACCCCATACCATAACGCTGCCGCCCCCGAACCGAACTTCTTCCATGACACAATGATTGACGTAACGTTCAATAGAACTTGTCCCAACTGCATGGCCGTCCAGCGTTGACGCTGTCTGCACCACTGTAGACGTGCTTGACGGTGGTTTCATGTCAAAATGGGACGTCTGGCGGGTCTTCTGGCGACAATCCCTGCACATCTGAGGCGGCGACGTACGGTTTTTGAAGATATTCGTCGAAGGCCAGGGATGCATCTTGCAGTCACTGTTGCCGGATGGAATCGATTCCGTAGGTGTGTTGTTCGAATCCAGTTGTCTTGTCGATTATTGGTTACGCGTGGCCTGCCACTCCGAGGATGGTCTCTGACTGTTTTCGTCTGTTGCTAACGTTGCCATACACACCAAATGGTGTTTCTGTGGACGTTAAATTGTCTTGCAACATCACGTTGACTCGATCCTGCTTCAAGCATACCAATGGTTCGCAGACGCTCCTTTTCGGACAGGCGTGGCATTTCGTAATGTTGAAGAATTGCGTATGTTTGTTGTTTTTCTGAGTGGTTTCAGCACGACGCTAAACAATGCATATGGAATACCGTTAACGCACAAGTTTTTTCTTGGGTAGTGAAATGCATGGGGCTTGCATAAAAGTCAACTTTTGCATGGAATGCTTGCTTTTCTGTAGCAGTTGCATTTTTGTGACTTGATTCCATACATGTACTAAAATATTGGTGTCACATGAACTTTTGTTGTTGCGTATATATTTGACTACAAGGATACTCTTACATCGCTTCATGTAAGGGGCGGGGGGCACGGGTGGCCCAGTCGTCTAAGGCGCCGCGATTCGCTGTGCAGAGTTGCGTCCCTTGGGCACGCCAGAAACCTATGATTGTGGGTTCGAATCCCGGTTCGCCCCGATTATGTTTCTAGGTTTGTCAGCACCATACCCGTGCTCGTTGGTTTCACCGAAGTGGTAAACGTCTTAGACCTGCATCACTTCGTGCTTTCCTCCCACATTAAGCTGACACGCCGTGATATAACTTGAATAATGTTAAAAGCGGCGTTAAACTGAACTCACTCACTCACTCACTCACTCATGTAAGGGGCGGTCGGGTAGCCTAGTGGTTAAAGCGTCGGTCGTCACGCCGAAGACTTTGGTTCGATTCCCGACATGGGTACAATGTGTGAAGCCCATTTCAGGTGTCCCCCGCCGTGATATTGCTGGAATATTGCTAAAAGCGGCGTAAAACCATACTCACTCACTCACTCACTAATACACACACACACACACACACACACACACACACACACACACACACACACACACACACACACACACACACACACACACACACACACGCTTGCAGGCAGGAGAATCCCGATCAGCTGTAGCCAGGGTTTTCATTGTTGCACCCAGCACCATGGTGTGGGATCGGTTTCAACAGTTTATCAGCCAAGGTCGGGAGGACCAAGTGTAACCATCCCCATCTAAGATCGCTACATCCTACTGCACCAGCTACGTGAAAGGACGACCACAGCCACCTCAACCGCATCCCAAATACCGGAACTGCGCAGAATATCCGACTAGACCGTACGAAACCGTTTAAAGGCAGCAGATCTACGAGCAAGACGTCCTGTTCGACGCGTCATATGGTCGACAACATCGTCAACAACGATTGCATTGGTGTCGTCAACACAGGATCAACTGTGGTGGAGAGATGTCTGGTTCAGCGACGAATCAAGATTTCTTCTGCGTCGAGGGGATGGTAGAGCATGGGTCTACAGACATCGGGGGGGGGGGGGGGACCTTTACGCCGGAAACTGCGTACCGGAAGTCGAAAGGTTTGGTGGGGGTAGCGTTATAATGTGGGCGGCTATCTCTGATCATGGAAGGACAGGTTTGGTCCATATTCAGGGCAATCTTACGGCTCAACGATACATCAACGAATTTCTCCAACCACACGTCCTCCTAATTGCAGCCAAAGGCAACGGTGTATTCAAGCCGGACCACGCTCGACCGCATGCAGAACGGATCACAAGAGCCCGTCTACACAACAACAACAACGTTGATGTTCTCCCCTGGCCCTCCAGATCCCCGGATTTAAACCCGATAGAGCTCCTGCGGGATGACGTCAGCCTGCACCCCAGCCGTTGCAGCAGTTGGATCTTTTGCGTTGCAGGCCGAGTGGGCTACCATCCCCTAGGATGTGATTCGCATACTCGTCTCTTCAATGGGCAGGAGATGTCAGGCCCTTTCGATTCCAACGTGGGACATACGAGTGAGTGAGTGAGTGAGTGCAATTTATCGTCACATCGGCAGTATTTCAGCCATATCGCGACGAAACAGTTATAATAATTACATTTTGATTTAATAAAAAGCTGTCAACGATGGACAGTAAGGTAACTAGAATATCACAGTTTCAATTGTAAAACTAGTTGAGAACAGTTAAAACAATACATTTATAATCAACAATACAATATAAAATGGGCTGTAGATCACCAGCAACTAAAGTTAGGCCACCTGACTAGGGACCGAGGGGACTTACATTACTTCTGCTACCTGCACGCCTCCCACGCAGGATTTACACCAACCCTTCAGCTGCTGGTAATGGTATGCAATTTTAGCCAACCGTTAAAATAAACAAATATACTACGCTTAAAACCGAGGTAAGAATAAATGTACTTTGAATGATGTTGGGACATACGAGTTATTGGAGGTAGCTGACTTTCACCTTGGACTTTTACCATGTACCGATAACTGAGATGACCAAGTGTTCTCTCCACAACATTGTGGCTCAATACCCTGTACGGTTCCTCCTATAAATGTAGGTTCTTACCTCACACAAATCTGGCTTTGCGTTTCTGTTTTTGAAGAGTATATTAGCAGTTCACAAAATTCATAGTCCCACAATGTATGATGAGGACTGCATACAAGATACAGCTCTCTCTCCTCGTGGTCTAGTTGGTCATCTAGGGTCATATGTTTCTTCTTTCCTCATGGCTGTCTCCCTCCAGATACCAACAGGCTCATATGGATTTCGCTGCGACTTTGTGCCCGTTTCAAAATGCCCATAAATTTGAAGAGGTTGGGGTCCAAGTGTTCAATTGCATTTATGCGCAAATGCCATCCTTCAACGTGGTTTGGGGTAGGGCTCCATTCAGTATGGAAATGTCTCTTTCATGATTTTCAACCCATTGCTCAGTTACGTAGCCCATAAAGCAAAATACCACAGGGTCGGCTAGATCAGGAACTTGATTCTGAATACAGATTGATGCTGAACTGTTTGTTTGTTTGTTGTTTAACGCCGCAATCAGCAATATTACAGCTATATGACGGCGGTCTAAAAAAATAATCGAGTCTGTAACAGACAATCCAGTGATTGACATCATGAGCATCGTCCCACGCAATTGGAATCGATGACATACATCAACCAAGTCAGCATGCCTGACCACCCGATCCCGTTAGTTGCCTCTTACGACAAGTATAGTCGCCTTTTACGGCAAGCATGGGTTGCTGAAGACCTATTCTACCCCGGATTTTCACGGGTCGGACAACAAAATCCTGGGAACCATAAAAATCAAATTAAAATACATTTGACATGAAATATTCAGAATGATCACATGTACAAACGCTTTGTCATGATTACCGGTACCCATTATGACCCTGAAATTACACATGTATACAGGGCATCGCATGCATCAAATCCATGTCACATATTTACAGTGCACGTAATACTGAGTATGGCAAAACCAGGGACCAACCTCGTACTGGACGTCCAAGAGTAATGGCAAGATAGTCATATCCGTCTTGTTCACCGAAGAAATCGGTTTCAGGCGTCAACTTTAACACCCTGCTGCATTCGTGGCTTACGTCCAGTTAGTGCAAGGATTAACATTGTTTAATGCGAGGCGTATCGAAATGCACGACTGGCATGGCAAAGACCACTTCTGAGGTTCAGGTTACAGAGCTGGAGGTTGGTCCACATTCCATTTTGACAGCAGTGATGGCCGTCAACATCTATATCGACGTCGGATGGGACGTTACCCTAACGCG